ATATTTGCCCTTTTTGTCGTGAGAAAAGATATATAGTCATTAATTTTGGAACACGGATATGTTCTTTTTAGTTCGCCAGTCTGGAAACACCTGGATATGTGGGATTTGCAAATTTGCCTAATCAAGTACACAGGAAATCTGTGAAAAAGGGTTTTGAATTTACGCTTATGGTTGTGGGAGAATCTGGTCTTGGGAAATCCACTTTGGTAAATAGTCTCTTTCTCACGGATCTCTATCCCGAGCGGATAATTCCTGATGCAATTGGTAGGTATCCAAATGAATTATTTATCTTAGTTTATTCTATATATTTAGTGAAATATATAATTTTTATAAATTTTTATTTAATATCTAATTAAAGTCTACTTGTATTTCTGTAAATAGAGAAAACCAATCAAACCGTTAAATTGGATGCTTCCACGGTCGAAATTGAAGAGAGAGGTGTAAAGCTTAGATTAACAGTCGTTGATACACCTGGTTATGGAGATGCAATCGATAACACGGACAGTTTCCGAGCTATCATTCAATATATAGATGATCAATTTGAAAGATTTCTTCGTGACGAGAGCGGTTTAAACAGGAGGAACATTGTGGATAATAGAATACATTGTTGTTTCTATTTCATCTCTCCATTTGGCCATGGGTACGAATCATTATTCTATAATATTTATAAATTTCCATTTCTAGCAATACAAATTTACTTTAATCTCTTGATTTAATTTTATCTTTTTCTAATTCTTGTAATTGATAGAAAGAATAAAAGGTAAGTTAAACCAAGATTAAAGTTAATCTATATTGATAATCATAGATATAAATTCTTTAAAGTTAAAAACAAACATGACAAGATGAATACAGTCAGTTTTTATCTTTCTTCCTGATTAGATTGAAGCCACTGGACATCGAGTTTATGAAGCAACTTCACAACAAAGTTAACATAGTACCTGTAATAGCAAAAGCCGATGTACTCACCAAAAAAGAAGTTTTGCGCCTAAAGAAACGAGTTATGGAGGAAATTGAAGATAGTGCAATCAAAATATATCCTTTACCAGACTGTGATAGCGACGAGGACGAAGATTACAAAGAGCAGGTACGTCAATTGAAGGAGGCCGTCCCATTCGCAGTATGTGGTGCGAATACTTTGCTCGAAGTCAAAGGAAAAAAAGTACGAGGTCGATTGTATCCGTGGGGCGTTGTTGAGGTAGAGAATCCCGATCACTGTGACTTTATCAAGTTAAGGACCATGCTGATGTAAGCTATCTTGTTTTTGTTATAATTATATGAATCTCTTCCATGTCGATATATGTGTCTAATATTATTATTTTCTCTTATAGCACGCATATGCAAGACTTGCAGGAAGTAACGCAAGAGGTACATTATGAGAATTACCGTAGCGAAAGATTGGCAAAAGGAGCTCCGGTGCCACCCCGACGTCAGACGTAAGTCATATATTTCATATCATATTGCATCTTGAACTTTTTGCACGAACGTTATTCGTATCTTCTCTTTTTTTCATTGCAGTATTGCGGAAACTGACAAGAACAGCACCGTGTCAGAGAAGGATCGCATTTTGCAAGAAAAGGAGGCAGAGATACGACACATGCAGGAATTGTTGGCTGTGATGCAGGCACAGATGCAACAGCAGCAACCTTGATCAGACATACATTTTTGTACCGATGTGTGAAGCGAAGGAAATGACTTCTCATTGTTACCGAGTGCCAAAAAAGATTTATAAAACCTCTTCAGTAGTTCACACTATCAAGGTTTTGATTTCGGACACGATATTTTTCTAAGCTTGTCTTTTATTAGGGCAATGTCATTTTGATACATACCACGCGTTTTATAAACATATTTCGTAAGAATATGAACATTCTAATCGATACATCTTTTTGATAAGTATACATTATATTCAATATAAGGACTTTTGTTAGCCTCGTTAGCATCAAATGCCTCGTTCGGAACAAACAGACCAAGAAAATCAACTTGGAATTGTAGCACAATATGAAACAAATATTTGCATATCCAAAGTTGGTAGGTAAGGCACTTAAATAGCTTATTTCTTTTAATAAAAATTACTCGGACGAGAATTGCTCTATTTCGAAGATTTTACTGTGCAAGTACTTACGAAGAATCTTATTCAGATCTATTTTTTAAAGAAAAATATTTTAATTTCTATCAGTTTCTTATTTGTCTTTTCTTAATTATTGACAATTTATTTAATATTTTACTCATTATGCATTTAAGCAGATATATAATAAATAAGATTTTATTATATGAGGAAACAAAACATGAGACCATTGAATAAAAATCGTAAATATTTCATATCAGAATCATCAACATGATTTTTCATCTCAAAAAATTTTTTATATAGACTTTAGATCTCAGCTGTATAGGCAGCAACTTTATCAAAAGAAAATATCAAACAAATGTGATTCAAAGATTTTCATCTCAAATAAAAATAATTATACAATAGAATGATATAGATGACAAGAATTGTGAAGAGAAGTGCCTTGCAACTTTCGTTTACTACCACTATCGCAATACAAGTATTAATATTAATGTAGGAAATATAAGACTTTTTCATATATAAATATGCAAATAATTTGTTTATGAATGATTATAAACATTTTAGTTGCATATTAAAAGAATCATTTCCATATTCATAACAAATAAATCATAGATAAAACTTATGTTGCTGATAGAGAACGAAGAATCTCATTAAATTTATGTGCGACAGATGTATAAAAACTTTGAAACGTTGATGCAATGCTCGAATAAAAAATCTAACTAATCACGCTAGAACATGCAAAAACAACTATCGTTTAGTTATCAAAATTAAGTAACCTAGATGTAAAGAAATATAAATGTGCTAAATAATCTTTTAAATGAAAAGACAATCCAAAGTTAATTTTAAATAGATTTAAATATTCTATGTCCATTTTTTATATTGGCCATTTGTAACTTCCTTTCTCTAGGTCTTCACATATATGAATCCACATATATAAAATAGATGTATTCCTAGATATTCTTAAAGATATATATCAAACATACCGATAGAAATAATAGCGTAAAGATGAATGTGAGTAAAGATTTAAGTATTCTCCATGAATATCTTCTCAAGCAAATTTTTTCACGCAATACAAACAACCAAACATGTGAAATGTGATTACATATAAGAATTGTACGAAGAAACAGGAATTTCATATATTAACATAAAATTGGATAAAATGTTAGATGATATGGAATGTTAGATGATAAAATTAATTGAGACGGCAATATATTTTACGCTTTTAATCCTTCAGTCACACGATTAGATTTAGGAACATATTTACATTAAAAACATTTTCATGTTTTTATACAGAAATTGTATAGATATGTAATTACATAAATTTTTATATCTCTTTTATACAAATATATATATATATATATATATATATATCTTTCAACAACTTCTGATGCTATGCAGTTTAAGATCTATGCATATAATAATCTATCGCCGTTGAGAACGCTGCAAAACCTGCAGCGCCAACTATACCTGCTTTTATGCCGGCTAAGAAAGAAAAAGACACAAGATTAAGACTTGAATTAAGAAAATCCAAAAAATATTAATAATTATTATGCATAAAAAGTAATACCTCTTAAGCCGATTAGTCCACCAGTTAAACCACCTGCATATGTACCATTTTTCCAATCAGTTTTACCTCTAGACTAGAAGTTAAAACAATCTTTTACAATATGTTGGAGAGAATGCACCGAAACATAGTAAATTATTATTTTGGAAACAATATCTTTATAAAGCATGTATCTAATTTCAAGAGCGTTACCGATTCTATTGTGCACTCAATGGCAGAAAATATACATCCTACGACAGCAAAGTTTTTTGCGTAACTCAGAGTGGTAGTTTTCATTTCTTTCAATATTTCTCGCGCGCTTTGCTGCTTCTCGATGCTGGCTACATTAGGATTCACACTAGAGGAGAATAGTCCGATGGCTGCTCCCAAACCATATCCTAAAAATGAAATTATTCTTTAGCAGGATATTACTTTTATAATTATGTAATCTCATTTTTAAACATTTGTAAGACATTTCAATATGTCTTGTATATACAAAGAATAAGATGATACATGATCAGTTGGCAAATTATAGTTTCAAAATTCAATCCTCATCTACATTGATTAAAAAGTTTCTTGACGATTGCTTAAAAATTTATGTTTATCAAAATTTTGTTGCTTGCAAAATTAGTGAAATATTTAAATAAAAATAAAAAAAAAGAATAGAGAAATCTTGACAAATATTTGTAATTCATATATATGATTTAACATTGTATGGATTTCATTCTCAGCTTATAGTCAGAGCATCTCTTAAAAAAGCAGAAAGAAAAGAACGAGGTAGAAAAGCATACCAATAACACAGCTCATGATGCTCTTGAATGCACAGCTTTCCATTATACTATCTATTCTTTTCTCTTCAATGGTTTTTATATGCACGGGTCCCAGCATTCTGGGAATTATTATATTTTCTCTGAAGCGTTGCTGATTCCCAACGAGGAGCATGGCAATCTTGTCAAGATCAGCATCGTTCAATGTTATCTTTTTGTTCTCGCCGGCAGTCGTCGATGAAATCGTCTTTGTTAGATCATACTATTTTTTTTTTTTGTTACGTTTATGACGATTTAAGTGAAAATGTTTTGCGTCACGTTGCGATGAATTCCAAATATCTCTTGGCTGAAAGGTTCATCTCGCCGTATTAAATCGAATGATTCTTTTATTTTGAGTAAAATCGCGTTGATTGAGCTCAATTTTATCAAAATCGGAGGTGAAGACCGATATTGTAAATAATTACCGTCTAAAGAATGTTTCTCTAATATTTTAATAAAATAATTATATATGTGGTGCAAACGATCGTAGGATGAAACTACAACCGGTACGGCCGTATAGCGTGTTTGCCATGCTTTCTAACCAAACTCGTGGAGATACTCCGCATGAAACATGAAAGCAGAGATTTTTTGCTGGAAGACAGTGATAGCATGGTATACAAGTCGCTTTTCTCGCGCATGCGCAGAGAACATTCTCAAAAAATATCCAATACAAAAATAAAAAGCTATGCTAGTAATCGTCCGTAAAATTTCCTTTTACTCAACAATTACAAATCAACAAATCAACAAATCAACAATTACATATGATATCAATTATCCTCCTTTTCCCTTGTACAAAATTTTATTGCAAAAAATATTATCTCAACTTAGTTGTATGTTCATTGAGGCCGCCAAGGACTTTCGCATCTATCACGCATTAATAAGAAATATCGATGTACTGAATATATCTATAACTATCTATAAAAAAAGCGCTTTTGAAATTCAAATTTACGAAGCTTAATTCGCTTCTTTTGTTTTTTTAAATAAAATATAATTTTAAATTAATAATAAACAGAGTTTTGCATTGTAAATGTTTATCTTTCTCAGCAAATTTTTAAATTTTGCTGTATGATCAATATATTTTACATTAAATATATACTTATAATTAAATGGAGGCTTACTAATTTATATATTTATTGCTTTTATTTTCGACATATAAACACAAAAAGATTCGAAGAGAAAAAATCTTATCACGTTTGTTATCTATTTACATGATTTATTGTATTTTTTCATGTACAGAGCGTTTATATTCGAGATTTAGATTCCTGAGAAATTCTAAATTTTTAATAACAATGTCGCTTTTTATTTAAGACGCAGTTGAATGTCTGTATCACGAACGAGACAATATTCATTTTGTGTAGTTTCTTCACTCTATATTTTATTTTAATTGGCAACTATGCATGCAAATGATATGAAAAAAAAAATAAAATTGTACTGTGTATTTCATTACACAGAATAATATAGTCTGTGTGAATATTCAATTGTATACTAAATAATGTATACTAAATAATGTATACTAAATAATGTATACTAAATAATGTATACTAAATAATGTATACTAAATAATGTATACTAAATAATGAAGCCATTGAATAAAACGCAATTTATGCAACCAATGCATATAGAGCCATAGAAAGGAGAAGATGCAATGGGTGCATCATATTAGGGCCCCGAAATTTCAATTGAAAATATAACGATTTTTTATTTGTACTAGTTACAAATTGTACTAGTAATGTTTTATAAGTTTTTCATTACATTTTTTAATTTCCCTTAATATTAAATTTGACTAGATAAAAATCTCCTTTTGCATCAACGCCTCGAAAGCTCTTTGCATTGATTCTGAGTATATATTATTTAAATTCTTTCGTTAGATATATTCACTAGTTTCGAAAGCGATAAAAATATATCCATACAAATATCTACACAAAATGACACTGGTATTAGGAAAGCTAAACTAAAACAGAGCTATTATTATTCGTTCTGTGTATATCCCATCCTTTATTGTAAAAGTAATTACCGGCGTAAAGAAGAATATCGCAAATGATAGATTATCTACTTATTGCGAAATTAATTATACTTTCTTTTAATAGTCGACTTTCCAAGTTTTCTAGAACGCAGCTGGTTCATATGAGACATTACCGTGTATATTCCAGGCAAGAGTAAGAAAAGCAAATAAATTCTTATAACAGATGGAAAGTGAAGAGTGAAATTGTAAATATTTGGTAAAGAAACGGTAAACTTTTGAGTTTCTTCGAAGTATGGAATGTTCCGTAACATTACGATACCTTCGCATACGAAGCCCAATGGATATAAAAATATCCATATTGTATATCTCAACCAAGTCAAAAAAGATATTTTAATATTCAATAACTGCGTGATGTAGTATGGATATCTGACTATTTCTACTGTACCCCATATGAGAAACAGGTAGAAAACAACTGGTTTAGTTTGCATACGAGGCTCGGCGTCGATCATCAAAAACAATATGAATGTTCTGCCTCCTGTTTGTAGGAAAGACACCAATGTACTACTCTTTGTATATCCAAACATAGAGTGCATCACCTCTAGAAATTGTAAAAGTTGTACGAATTTGACCGGAGTGCCAACTGCAAGATACGTTTCTTTCATAAAATCTGAAAAGACATATTTTGTATTAATAAGACATTTCTAAAAAAAAAAGTGATGATAAATTGATCAATGTATAAAATATTAGAAGTTTAGTAAAACTTTTAGATTTAATTTATTATAAAAAAAATTTATTTTAAAATAACATGTGTAAATATAGATATACCTGGTCCATCGCGCGAATATCTAACAGCCATTACAGCAAGCACATAAATAAAGCCAACAAATTGACAAAGGTTATATATGACTAGATATACTTTTGCGAAATCCTCTATAAAAACAAGAAACAATATATTAATCTTGTTCACATTCATATTAACATTGTTGTTAATATTCATATAACTATAATGATTTATGAGATATACCTTTTCTATAACCAAATTCTTCTTTATGTAACTTATCATACATATCTGGATAATCATCAAGGATATCACGTTTCTCATCCTCATTGTCATCCATATCTTCGCTTTTCCACTTATCAAAATCAATCTTGAGCCACGAAGGCTTTTGCGGCTGACTTGTCAATCTTGGCCACCAACCATTACATTTCTTTTTTAAAACAAAATCTATTTCACGATCAATTACTTTATAATTACTCTCCTACAATAAACATTACATAAAAAATATTTATTAGAATAATTTATGGATATTTAAATATATATATACAAAAATTGATTTATGGATATCTCATTACATCTGGATCAATAGGTGAGTGAAGATTCAGGCTGAAACTGTAATTATTTAGTCCTCTAGCTCCTTGTCCATAGGCTGTAACTTGCAATAAAGTTTCTTTTAGATTAACATTGAGATCCTGCAAAATAAAATGTATAATTACAAAAATTTTTACTCTAATATCAAAAAGTTTCATTTTTATAAATCTTCTTTTATGCATTGAATGTAACGAACCTTCACGTCAGTTAAGTCTACTTTCAGTGTAACTTGACTCTCAGTTTGGGCCCAGTATACAAACGGCGTGAGCGTATTGGACATCTTATCATAGTAATCCAACGACGGGAAAATTTGTTATCACTAGTACTATCACCGATTCTTCTCAGAATGATTCTAAGAATTCACTGTTAACAGCAGCGTGTGCATTCACGTTTCTATTTGGACTTTTATCCGTCGTTCTACTTGATCGTTGAATCAATTAATCACAAATACATATAAAAATCGTAACGCTACATATAAAAATATAAAAAATTCCTTCATTCCTTATTCATTCTTAAGTAGTATAATTTGCATTATGTTACATTAGTTACCGTTCGACAGTCGACGAGGGATGTTAAGGGGGGGATAACAGCCAGTGCTCTGGACGCAGTATCCTTTGACTACGAATGCGTTTCGATATTCATTGCCATACTGAAAATATATAGTTCAGATCACGTATATTATAGATTTTCAATACTGAGTGAATATCAGAACGCAGCCTATATAAGTATGGATTGCCAGTAGGCTGCATATCCTATAGTACTATTGAGCGAAAAATGTTGCCAAGTACAATGGATTTTAGTTTAATCAGAAATTCAAATCAGCTATATCTATCAAATTGTATTTTTATCAAATATTATTTTTAATTTATAATAAAATAAATCGAAATAAATTTGATTCTGTTTACATTAATTTAGAAATTATTTAATATATCGCTTCTCTTTGCTCTTCGCTTGCACCTCGCAATTGCACCATGTTACACTTTTCATACTTGAAATGACAGACAACAATTAGCTATTGAAGTGAGAAAGAGGAAGGATAAAAGTTCAATGAAGAACAGATTTTAGATAGCAGAAGTTTGTTCCTTTTAGCTGAGCTTCTTACATCATTCCATCTTTCCTCTTTATCTTTTTAACGTGGGGAAAAAGAAGAGAAAAGATTTAACGGTGCAAGAAGTTCAGCTGAAAAGAATAAATCTCCGGTCTAACCCGCAAACGTGCCACGCGACTTCGGATTGTTTACCGTGGAGAGGGAGTCCTCGCGGTCCTGGCCTCACTGTCAAAAAATTCGCTTCCCTCAAACGTGATTTTACTGGCGATGCGAGTTTTTGAAAATGGCTAACGTCGAAATACTGCAATTGGATGTCTGGAAAGGCGACTGGGGCCTGCCATCGGTCGACATAGAATGCTTGCAAGTTCTGGTGCGTTGAGTCGGCGCGTATAGGTTATGGTACACGCATGCTACCTTTAGACGTCCGCGGCGACGAGTTTCTTTCAGGAATGCGTAAAATGTGCCAAGAACATCGAGTGTCCATTTCGCTGCATGAATCCTTCGGCCGATTCTTTCGATTTTCATTTGGAGAACATCGAGTCACCTGAAGAGATTATTTTTATTGAAAATAAGGAATTCCCGTCGAGTATCACGTTGGCTGAGAAAGTAGACGGCGAAGCGATGTTCCCTAGAAAATTTCGAACAAATTCTGTTGGTATCTTCATTCAAGATTTAATTGCAATTGCGATGTACGATATTATAATCGGCCGAAAGAATCATTGACATTTGTTGTTTTAAAAATATATTTGAGAAGAATGCGACATGTGTAGAGACATTGGGATGTCTAAACTGTCGACTGAATATGATAATAACAACGAAAGAAAAATAAAATATGCTCTTTTTTGCTTTATTAATATCTAATAAATAACCGAACTATGAATAATAAATAAGGAAAAATAATGGAATATAATAGCAATTTTATTTTCTAATATATCATTATATTATTTGTAGGCATATGCCAAATTCAGTGGGGTACCTTTAAAAGTAAATCGAGCAAGCAGCCCATTTAGCACACCAAACGGTCGATTACCTTTGCTTAGAGTTGGTCCATCTACTTTGGATACGGTTAAAGATATATTACCTTTTTTTCGTGAAAAGCATTATAATTCTGACTATATATTAAGTGATAAGCAGTGTGCAGATGTCATGGCTTATGATGCTTTGCTTAAGGAAAAGTTATACCCAGCCTTCCAATTTATATGGTATGAAACATGTGAAAATTAGCTAGAATAAGATGCAACTCAGGACTTGTGAAATTTTGATAACATGAAGGTTATTTTATTCAAAATTATCTGAGTTGCATATTATTCCATTATATACATGTATACATGTGTTTGTCCTCTAATTTTAGAGAAATAATACTAATAGCTTCATATTAGCAGATGTATTTTAGCATAACTAGAATTTTACACAACATTTGGTCTGCTTTTATATTTATTGCAAATATAACATAAAGAATATCATTATTATTGTTCATTATTATTGTTCTTTTTAGGTGGATAGATAAGAAAAATCTAGATGAGTTGGTCAGACCTTGGTACTGCAAGGCACTGTCTTTCCCATTTAATTTTTACTATCCAGGAAAATTTGAGCGACAAGCGCATGCCTTGATGCACAGCTTATATCCTACAGAAGATAATATAAGTGTTATTGAAAATGAGGTATGTATAACATGTGAAATAATTTGGAGTTACAGAGAAAATAGTAATGTTCAAATATTAAAATTTTTTTGAAATTATGAAATTTATGAATTTATATTACAGGTATATTCGGAAGCACAAAAATGTTTAACATTATTATCCATAAGACTTGGAGATAAAGATTTCTTTTGCGGACAACAACCCAGTACGATAGATGCTGTTGTGTACTCGTATTTGGCACCATTGCTCAAGGCTCCATTACCAAATCCTATCTTGCAAAATCATTTAAAAGGCTGTACAAATTTAGTGAAATATGTGTCGCGTATATCGCAAAGGTACTTTGAAGATGAATATCGAACTTACGAGAAACATAAAGCCGAGAAGAATGAAAGATTGAGAAGAGATTCTGATAGTGAATTTCCTAACAAGAGAAGAAATCAGATTCTTGCTGCATTGGTAGCTACAGTGGTAATGGCAGGATATGCATTATCCACTGGTATTGTAGAGGTAAGTTTTAAAAAGTTTAATATATTATAAATATATCTTCATAATTTTATGTTCTACGTTTAAATGATTATTAGTAAAGATTAATAAAGTTAGATTAATAAAGTAAAAAATAAAAGATAGAGATACAGATAACAACAAAGAGTATTGCGACTGACAGAATTTATATTGGATATTAATTGGTTTTTCTATCTTCTTTCTTGAGAACATCTTTAATACAGAATATCTTTATAATTAATTTGTACATTATACAAGTTATTTTAATGTTAATTATTTTTATAAATATTATTTCTAATAAAAACTTCTCATGAAAAATTTCTTTCTTTAAGATATAAAAATTTTTATTTTTAAATTTTGATTTGGATTATGTTAATGTGTATTTTGTACAACAAAAATGCAATAATTTTGAACGAAATATACTTGTTGTAAAGAAAATACAAAATGCTTGAGCATAAAGAGATATGTGAATAGATTTTCCTAAAGACAAAGTAATAAGATTGGAGCTACAGGTAGCTTTATTTATAGGTGATAATATATTTATTAAGAAGCAGAAAATTTATTAAAATTCCTAAGAAGAAAAGGAAACGTGAGTATTAGTTGCACACATTGATAATATATTTTTACATGGAAATTAACCAATTAATATCAATTTTTATACATATATAAATATATTTTGCTTCTTATCGCATATATTATGTGATCATAAAGTATATTCATAAATAAAATAATTATTCTCTCACAAATAACTTATTTTTATATCATGTGTGTTTAAAGTGGAAAAATTGTATTCCTATGTAAATAATATAAAAATTATATTATTCTAACATTAAATATGAATTTGTAAAATATTCCATAAAATTTTTAAGTCTTTATTAATACAATTAATAAAGACCTGAAATATATGCATATTAATTGTTTTGGCACAAGAAATAATATAAAAAAATTTAGGATGGGATTAACAAAATAGATATTAAAAATAAATTTTTTTAAATTAGAAATGCTAAGTTTCAAAAATGGAAATAAATAGTTAAAACTTCATTTTTATTTAGCTTTAACTGAGTTTATTTCAACAGACTTAATTTGAAATTTTATTATAAAAATGAATATAGAAAATTTAGATCAGAGGATTCAACAGCTAATAATTCTCTATCATTTTTCCATTTTACCGTTGCGACATTAAAAAAATAAAACATATTTATTAAAGGTATCAGTAAAGGATGACGAAATCTCAGACGTGCCAGTGGATTATATACTGAACGACGAGGATGACGAATAGCAGTTAGCAAAAAGAAAATTACGTTTCCACGACAAAGATAGGGAATATAAAATTATTAAATGCAAAGGAATATCATATTTCATGCAATATACCGAGATTTATGTTCGAAAATTTTGGTGTGGAATCCTATATTCGTGATACAAAGAGAAAGAGAAGGAGATATTACATAAAATGTATAAATAGCAAAATATATAACAAAATAAAATAAATATTTTGGAACATGACAATATCAACATTATTAATGTTTTCCTATTTTATATCGCATCAAAATACCGCTGGTAGCATGATGCACTTCTTCTGCAAAGCTTTTAAAATTGTGGATGGTGGTACCACCTAGAATAATTTTTATTCCTGGATTTTGCTTATTTAAATTATAAACAGCCAAGCTTTCCTCATAAGTTGTACCTCCGATCATAAATATTATTATGTCTTGAGGTCTGTAAAAATGACATTGTATATTTATACTACATAATACATATACATATATATATATATATATTGCAATAGTATTATAGTATTTAATATATGTAATTACCTTCGCGACATTATCATCTTGCCGAGATAAGGAAATGCCTGTGTACTCAGTCTTCCTTTTATCAAGTCCTCTAATGTTTCATTTATTAAAGGACAATGTTGCGTGTATATATTATCTACTCCACTTAATCCTTTGAATAACTTTTTAGTAATTTTAGCAACTGCTTCTCGGTCAAATAAATTACTCTGTCTCGCGTTAACACCACTATATTCTAGTATATTATATACAAGCTGGAAATAATAAATTTATATTATATACATATATTTCTATTTCATAAAAATATATCAACTACCTTAATATATTTATCTGAAACATTTCTCTTCTTCAACAATTCTACTAAACCGTTTATATCATTGCTTGCATGCTTTTCATAATGGAGCGCATAAAGCATGACGAGTCGGACGGTGTCAATATCTCGTACTTTTTGATTGCCGATAAGTGCTCTTATCTTGTGCAACTGCAAACATAGGACGATTAAAAAGAGAGATATCAAGACTACGTACGTAGACAAAGATATTAAGAAATTACCTGCGAGGAATGATCGGTTTGACAACTTAATTCTTGTTCCAATTCTGATACTTCCAACAGGTTGTGTTTTTCTACAAGAGATGAAAGTTCACCGACTACCGTAACATGTTTGGATACTGTACCAGACAGTTTTTTGAAAAGCGGATATGTCTCTACAAAGTGTTTCATATCGGCTATGCTTTCAACTTTTTGATGTTTTTTCGCTTTTTTTTGAAATTCGTCCATCAGTTCTTTTATCGTTTGTCCTATTTCTCCAAAATTTAGATACAAGTTCTGCTCAAGAATATATTCTTTTAGCACAGAAAGTCTTTTGCAAAAAAAGGACTTTTGTAAAACTACTTAAAAAAAATGTGAAAAAAAATCAAAATTATATATTCAAAATATAATTTTTATCGATTTATATCTACTTTGACAATAATATATTTAAATAGTAATGAAAAATTTTCTTACATTTGCATAAAAGTCATCGTGTTCTGCGCTCAAAACAACTTCCTTCAATTCTTTTGAAATGCCTTTTACATGAGACAAATTAACCCGATTGTTATTGATTGTTAATAGTTCATGTACCATTGCTTGATACGTCCATTGATTTAACAACGGTGTAACAGGATCGTCTCTTCTATCCACTATCAGAAGAATAGGATTAGATTCCTGTCTAAATTCGAAAGAATTTGATTCTTTGCTGAGCACTTCTCTTATCTTTTCTGCCAATCTTTTTGCCATGTCAGAACTGTTTTGATATCTAATATATGGACATTTCTTTAAAGATAACAAAACAGAAGTTATTCCTTGAACAGTTCTATGTAAATGTACTGGATCCCATAACAGTCCTTGAATCACAAAACATAAATGACAGATATGAAAAATAAGTGTCATTAATTTCTTATAACTACAGAAAAGAGTTTGTATAAAATTCTACCTTCGGAACAGGCATTTATCCCAAGTGAAAATAAATGTGGATTAACGGCCAAATAATCTGCGTAATATTCGTGCACTTCTCGAACTACCTCTCGCTCATCGCTTTCTGCTAGAAGTTTTATATCTGCTTTGGCAATAATATTACTGAAATCTAATGGAGACAAGTATTATTAGTAATACTTCTTACTTTCTGTTTCTATCAATGCTTCTTAGATTGCAGCTTCTTTCAGCACTAGATTAAAAAAAAAATACAAAATCTTTCTATTTACAGCGATATTATTACTCACAAATATAATATGTTCCATATTTGGGATATCGAAGTTCTTTGCAGAGTAGATCAATATTTTCTTTAGTTGGCCTTATAAATACTATACATGTTAAATGTTTCAAAGTGTCGTTGTGTACAGCAGTATCTATACGTTCGAACAGGTACACTTCTTTCATTAGTATCTCAGACTGACTGTACAATAAGCTAACTATACTCGTCTAAAAGAATTAAAAAAGAATAATATCTTTGAAATTTGTAGATCATGATTTTATTCTTTGTGATTGCATTATTTAAAGTTAAATACTAGATAAAAATTGATGTTAAATACAAAGACAAAAAATAATAAAAATAAAAAATAGATTTACCGGTTTAGAAAAAAAAAGAAAAACTTTCCTGGTTAAGTGAAGAAAAATAAAGGAAGAGAATATAAATATAGTAATTCTCGCCTTTACCGTTTGTTTATCCATCAGCAGAACCTTCATACCAGGTCCGCTGTCTTCTGTCATCTTTGTTATGTAAAACTTCAAAGCAGTGACGACATTCATCCTGACGTTGGTAGATAAATCGCGGGTCCGATAATCGTATAACTCCTATATTTATTCGTGTATCGGCGTGCGTATATCACGCTAACTCCATAATTTGTTCACAGTATCAAATGCAATTATTTAAAGCTCTTCTTTCGATCTTATCCATTGACGTATATAATGGACTGATACCCAGTCATGCTCTCTCTCATCCTATAACGCTCGTCCAGTTAGTATTTCAGTGGCACAGCCAATCTTTGCACTGATTGGTTCACTTCTGTTTTTGAATGAATATGGTGATATATTTTTTTGTGACATCTAGGGATGTTCACAAGTAA